ATAAAGATAATGGGGTGCAGAGAAAATAGGAGTTTGTTAGTGCTAGAGCTGCTGCTAGGGCCCAGGGCTCTTCATTCTGAATTCAGATTCTTACCAAGTTATCATACTTCCCGCTCTGTTGCTCCAAATTCTTTGCCTCCAACCAAAAATCCTTCCCTGGTGCTACAGGAAGTCCTTCAGGGGGTTCTTCCCTTTGGTACCTTGCAACCTACTTTGATGAACATTGAAAGGACCAAATTGTGCTTCTCTTGCAAAATTAGGAGAGTCACAGCACCTGTAACATCGGGCAGCCTAGAGAGCGGCAGCATAGCAGCATAGGGCAGCTACTGGAAAAGGGCACAGGGCAAGGCTGGCTGAGCCTTCAGGCCATGTCTCGATGGGACCCTCAAATGGTAGATAGTCTTGTAGGGCAAGAAACTTGGTTTTGTCTGTGTTTCCAGAAAGCACAAGACCTTTACATTTTTTGATTTCAAAATATGATTTTCTTGTATGAAATAATCATAACGGCAAATGTTAGTTTAAAAATTGTGTTGAAAAACAAAAAAAATCGTATTCAACTAGCAAAGTAAAAGTTGTCAATTCTTGTAGTCTATGAAATTTCAAAGTGTAGGAACCACTCTTTTTGGTTTTCCAAGGAAAAATTGTTTCTCCAGAGGATTGGGACTGGGAGTGGTTGTTTTGTTTTTTAGAAGCGGTTGATTTAAAGCTTTTTGCTTCTGGATTTATTCAGCTCCTACTCCCCACATGCACTCTTCCTTTATTAGACCTAATCTGCCCTTTGTCTTGACCCAATTTTTTCCTTGTGTGGACCTCTTTCTCCAAGAACAGAATGAACTTGGCCCAGCAGAGCTGTGATCTGTGTCCACCCCAGAGCTTATATCCTTTGATGTTTGTACTTCCTTGACTAATGGCCTGTCAATTCTCCTTCAGGACACAGAAGGGGATGTCTCCTGTTCTTTCTAATGATATTTTTGGCTATGTACTAGGGAAAAGGATCACATTAATACATAAAGTGTCCCATGGAACAGAGTCTAGTATGATGCTGTGATTTGAAAGCTCTGTGTAACCAACAAATATCTTCTGGGAAGACCTGCTATTGTGTCTAAAACTCCTCACCATGTCATTGTTTAGAAGTCTTCCAGAAAAGAAGTTAAATTTTGCTACTATTTTTTGCTGGAAATAGTAGCCCATTGGCATAGTGGAAGAGAGCTGAATAGCCCGCTATTGTAAAGAATTAGTCTGATCAAGATTTTCATTCTCTAGAATATTATAGGGCCCTGAGGGAATAATAGGACAGGGGCAGGGAGGTTTAGATGTGGGGTTGAGATGAAACGTGCATCAGAGTTTTCTAACTAGCTTAGGTTTCCATTCTGAGCGGAGAAGGTTGCTGAAGAAAGTCACAATGTGTATGTGAGTGTGTATGTGTGTGTGGGTGTGCGCAACAGAACTTTAGTCCATCACACCTGAAGCAAAACTCAGGTTTAAGTTTGAAGGATATTTTCATTGGATATAAAATTCTTGGTTGAAAAAAATTTTCCTTCAGCACTTTAATTATATCATCCTGTTATCTTCCAGCTTGCATAGTTTCTGAGAAATCTGTTGTACTCACTACCTTTGTTCTTTTATGTCATTCCTCTCCCCACCCCCTGGCTGCTTTTAAAATTGTCCCCTTTTTGATTGATTCTGAGCAACTTGATTATGATATGCCCTGGTGTGATTTATGCATGTGTGTTAATTTTGCTTGGGGTTTACCAAGGTCCTTGAATCTGTAAGATAGAATTGTCATCAAATTTGAAAAGGTCCCGAGTATTGTTTCTTTAGTTTTTTCTGTCTCCTTTCTTTCCTTTTCAGACATTCTGTTACATATATATTACAGTTCTTGACGTTGCTATTGATACAGGTCATGGAGTCTTCATTCTTTCCCTTCTCTCCTTCATTTATTTTTTCTCCGTGTGTTTCTTTCGTATAGTTTTTAAAGTCATTTTATTTTTTCTTTTAAGAAGTACTTTAAAAATTTTCAGTTACAATTGATGTACAATATTATATTAGTTTTAGGTATACAACTCAGTGATGATACATTTATGTAACTTACAATGTGATCACCCCGGTGAATCTGGTACCCATCTGACACCATACAGTTATTGCAATAGTATTGACTACATTCCTATGCTGTACTTTACATCCCCATGACTGTTCTTTAACTACCAGTTTGTACTTCTCAATCCCTTTACCTTTTTCACACATCCCTCCAACCCACTTCCCTTCTGGCAACCATCAAACTGTTTTCTGTATCGATGAGCCTGTTTCTGTTATGCTTGTTCATTTATTTGTGTTTTCTTTATTCCACATATAAGTGAAATTATATGGCGTTTGTCTTCCTCTGACTTATTTCACTCAGCACAATGTCCTAGAGGTCCATCCACGCTATTGCAGATGGCAAGATTGCATTATTTTTTACAGCTGATACATATTTCATTGTATATATGTACCACTTCTTAATCCATTCATCCATTGTTGGAAACTTAGGTTACTTCCTTATCTTAGCTGTTGTAAATAATGCTGCAATAATATGTGGATATATGTGTCTTTTCAGTTTAGTGTTTTGTATTTTTTCAGATAAATACACAGAAGTAGAATGGCTGGGTACTTCATTGTCTCTTGTTATAGCCTTTGTGGTAAAGTCTATTTTGTCTGGTATCAGTATTGCTATCCCAGCTTGTTCGTTTGTTTCCATTGTGATGAAAAGTCTTTTTCTATTCCTTTATTCCAGTCCCTGTATGTTTTTCAATCTGAAGTTAGTCTGCTGCAGACAGCATATGTAAGGGGCTTATTTTCTTATTCAGTCAGCCGTCCTAAGTCTTTTGATGGGAGCACTTAATCTACCTGTATTAATTAATTTATTTAATATTCCATGTTATTTTGTACTAGTGTCAGGTGTTCAGCATAGTAATTAGACAATTGTATACTTGACAAAGTGTTCCCTTGATATTTCCAGGACTCACCTGGCACCATACACAGTTATTACAATGTTATGGACGACTTTTCTTATGTTGTACTTTACTTCCTGGTGTCTGTTTGTAACTACCAGTTTCTACTTCTTCATCCCTTCACCCTTTGTGCCCAATTCCTCAAGCCTCCCTTGCTCCTGGCAACTATTAGTCTGTTCTCTGTATCTTTGAGTCTGTTTATGTTTTGTTTGTTTATTTTGTTCTTTAGATTCCACACAGAAGTACAATCATATGGTATCTGTCTTTCTCTGACTGACTTATTTCAATTAGCATAATTCTTTCGAGGTCCATTGATGCTGTCACAAATGGTAAGATTTCATTCTTTTTTTATGGCCAAGTAATATTCCACTGTAAATGTGTGCAACAACATTTTTTATCTCCTTATCTATTGATGGGCACTTGGGTTGCTTCCATATGTTGGTTACTGTAAATAATACTGCAAGGAACATATGAGTGCATATGGGGGACCCCCAAAATGGAATTTATTTATAATAAATTGGGTATTTATTCTTATATTCTTACATGTTTAAACCTCAGTCACTTTCCAAGACTCTCCATTTGATGCAATACACCCACTGAGATGTTTTTTTCCACTGGTCAAAACAGTTTTGAACTTCTCTATTTTGATGCCTTTTAGTGCTTCTCATGTTTTGTTTGTTTATTTGTTTGTTTCACCTCTTCCACATGGGTACAATGTTTTCTTTTGAGGCCTTATTTTATCTGGGGTATTGAGGTCAGTTGAATAGGGGAGGGTGAGGCATGGGCGTCATGCGGGCCCCAGCGGGACAATAAGGTGTACAACAGCAGGTGGGAAGAGGAGGGCGCCCCGGAAGGAGGAAAGCCAGGTCAAAGAAGGGCTGAGAGGTGAAGGGGCTCAAAAGAAAGGAGGAGGGCAGCCAAGGAAGTCTGGATGCTGAACCAGAGAAGAGGAAATAGGTAAGGAAAGAAGGTGGAGAATGAGCGAAGGGCGGCAAATGGAAGAGAAGGAACTGCGTCTGGGTGTATTTAGAGCGCAGTAGCATCTCCAGTGGCACCGCCTATGGAAGCTGTAGCATCTGGCGGAGCTGGGAGAGGCAGTCTCACAGGAGAAGCCCTAGACGTTAGCCTGAACCTGGCCACCTTCTCGGGCCGGGAAGGGGAGGCTAGGGAGGACCGACAGGGTCACTACTCACGGGCCTCAGTCCGTACAGCCACACACGTGCTCAGTGGACTGGACTCTCTAACCTCGGGACGCACCTGGAGGTCCAGAGAAAAACTGCTGAGGGACCAGGGCTGGGAGAGGCTGGTGCCCGACTGCGGGTGTGGTGGTGCAGAGGGGACACTGACGCAGAGAGTGGAGGAGGGCGTGGTCCCGACACAGAGGGCCTGGCAGGCGCGGGAAGCACCTGGACGCAGGTCCCAGGGTCGGGAGGGTGGGGGGGGAAGGAGGCAGGGAGGGATGGAGGCGGCGGGAACTGAAGGAGGTAGGGAATCCGAGGCGTCGGGAGACCCAGGCTTGGGGTGGTTCGAGGGCAGGTGCTTCGGGGCTACGGCACTGAGGACGTGTGCGCGGATGGGAGACCCTTCCCTGCTGAGTCCTTCCTGTTGTTTCTCCATTTCCTAGCCCCAGAAGTTGCAGCTTCAGAGGTTGATGGGCGAGGAACAAGTTTTCAAGGGCAGTCTAAGGGGGGAGACCGGTGGCAGGTCGTGAAGCACCGCGGGGGCTGCGTGGGTGGAAGCACGGGTATGGGCTAGTCCGAGGCTCAGGACCCCAGGACACGTTCGCTGGCCCCCCAAAGCCTTCGTCCCTCCTCCCGCTCTACCTGCCTCCCTGAGCCTCAACCCCTTAACCGGGCATTGACGCTGGGCAGAGACGGGGCTGGCCGCGCCCAAGTGGGAGGTAGACTAGAAGGCGGGCGCCAAAGCTGAAAGGGGCGGACACCGGGAGGTGTCTCGTGCATAAAGGGGCGGCGGGGTGCCGCTCTCCTCCACACTGGCAGCGGCCACTGGCGGAGAACCCAACACGATGCCCGTTCACTGCCAGCAGAGCCCGGTGCTGGTGGGAAGCGCCACTTTAGCCACGCTGGGGGCCCTGACACTGTACTTTGGGGAGCCCTCCAGCTACGGGAAGCACACGGGGAGTCTGGCCACAGCTGCCCACCTGTCCGCCCGCGCCGCCTGGTTCCTGCAGGAGCTGCCCTCCTTCGTGGTCCCGGCGGGGATGCTCGTCCGTCAGCCCCGCACTCTCCTTGGCCCGCCCGAGACTGTGCTTCTGGGCCTCTTTTGCGTACATTACTTCCACAGGTAGCGTTTCCCCCTGCAGGGCGCGGCGGCGTGCAGTGCACAGCCAGTCTTGCCAAGGTGTCCGGGCGCGCAGCCTGCGGCGCACACCGAGGACTGCCCAGGGGCTGCGGGGGCAACTGCCAGGAGCGCAGCGGGCTCACAGGGAGCACCTGTAGGGGCTGGGGCTGCCTGCTGGACCGGGTGAGCGGAGAGGCTGTCGTGGGGCAGACGCCACCTTCACTGCCCCGGCCCCGCGCCTCACCTCTTGGTTCCAGTCCAAGTCCTCTGGGGAAGGAGGTTGAGAGGGCGGAGGGAAGCCTGAAAACTCAGGCTGGGCAGAGTTCTTGACAGGGACTTTCTCCAAATCCTAGAGGTTCAGCGTCACCTACAGTGTCTAACCCCTTACTTTCCCCTTCCCTTCCCCTTCCCTCTCTCCCTCCTGTACCCTCGCCCTCTCTTTCATTTGCAGGGCAGGGGTGGGCTGATTTAGGGATTCTGCGAGACTCTAAGTGTTGACACCTCCAGAGGGAAACAGCCCAGAGGGACAGATGAACTTATCTTTGGGAGTCTGAGGAGGGAACAGGGTGAGCCAGACCTGGACTTCAGTTGTGGGAGAGAAATGATGGGAACCTACCCCACTTCCTAGGCTCCACCCATAAGGGACCGCTCTCACCACCTACTAATCTACCGTTCCAGTTCCCCAGCAGCATAAATATGAATGGGTCCAAGTTAACTTAGACCTCAAATGTTCACTAAGTTAAACATTCCAGGTTCAGAAAAACGTTGCCTTATGGTCTGAGAAGGTCAGGAAAGAAACCAATCCTTTTAGGATTCAAATGACTGCTAACCTCCAAAAAGAACAAACAGAGCAAGGAGTGAACGCTCTTTTCAGTTGCCTACTGTGCCCAATCATTCAGCATCTATTGTCTCACCTAACCCTATTGTCACCTCGTGCGATATACATTTATCTATTTTAATTACATTTTATTGATTATACAGTTATTGTTGTCCCATTTTTTCCCCTTTTCCCCCCTCCCTCTCTCCTCCCAACTTTGTTCATGTCCATAGGTCATACATATAAGTTCTTTGGCTTCCCTATTTCCTGTACTATTCTTAACACCTGCCCCCTGTCTATTTTGTACCTAGCAATTATACTTCTTATTCCATGTACCTTTTCCCCCATTCTCCCCTTCCCCTTCCCAACTGATAACCTTCCACGTGATCTCCATTTCTGCGATCCTTTGCTTAGTTTGTTTTTATTTTTGCTTTTTAGGGTCAGTTGTTGATAGTTGTGAGTTTGTTGTCATTTTACTGTTTATATTTTTTTATTTTCTTTTTCTTAGATAAGTCCCTTTAACATTTCATACAGTAAGGGCTTGGTGATGATGAACTCCTTTAACTTGACCTTATCTGAGAAGCAATTTATCTGCCCTTCCATTCTAAATGAAAGCTTTGCCAGATAGAGTAATATTGGATGTAGGTCCTTCCCTTTCATGACTTTGAATGCTTTTTTCCAGCCTCTTCTTGCATATATGGTTTCTTCCAAGAAATCAGCTGATAGTCTGATGGGAACTCCTTTGCAGGTAACTATCTCCTTTTCTCTTGCCGCTTTTAAGATTCTCTACTTATCTTTAATCTTGGCTAATGTAATTATGATGTGTTTTAGCTACTTGGACTTCCTGGACATCTATTTCCTTTGCCAGATTGGGGATGTTCTCCTTCATTATTTCTTCAAATAAGTTTTCAATTTCTTGTTCTTTCTCTTCTTCTGGCACCTCCATGATTCGCATGTTGGAAGTTTAAAGTTGTCCTGGAGATTTCTAAGCTTCTCCTCATGTTTTTGAATCCTTATTTCTTCATTCTTTTCTGGTAGGATGTTTCTTTCTTCCCTCTGGTTCAAATCATTGATTTGGGTCCTGGTTTCCTTCCCTTCACTGTTGGTTCTCTGTACATTTTTGTTTATTTCACTTTGCGTAGCCTTCCCTTCTTCCTCTATTTTGTGCTTATACTCAGTTATTTCTGTGAATATGCTGATTACCAATGTTTTGAACTCTGAATCGGATAGGTTGTCTGTCTCCTCATTGCTTAGTTCTTTTTCTGGAGTTTGGATCTCTTCTTTCATTTGGGTCATATTTCTTTGTCTTGGCACACCTGTTATGTAGTAAGGGGCAGAGCCTTAGGTATTCACCAGGATGGGGCAACCCATGTTGCTATGTTGTGGCACTGTATGTTGGGGAGTTATCAGAGAGGGAATAATGCCGTTTGCTCAGCTCTTGCCCCACTTTCAGTCACTTCCACTGCTACCCACGAGGGAATTGGGCCCTTCTGATGCTGATTCCTAGGTGGGTGGATTTGTGTACATTCTAGGGCCCTGCAAGCTGCTCCAACAGACTCTCTTGTGAGATTGGGAACTTCTCTTGCCACTAAAACCCTTGCAGGTTTTTATAATCAGAGGTTTAGAGGCTTTATTTCCCCATGCTGGAACCCTGGGTTGTGCAGTGTGTCTCATTCTCTAGTTGTTCTTCCCAGTTTCGCTGCACACAAATGTGGGGCTGCCTGGTCTACCAGCCACCACCTTGCTCACTTAGTCCACCAGTCACCACCTTGTCATGTGTCCTTTCCACCCTGGCTGCCCTTTTCTACCCTCCTGCTAGTCTGGATGAATGTTCCTTCTTTAACTCCTTGGTTGTTAGACTTCCATACAGTTCATTTTTTGGCAGTTCTGGTTGTTTTTTTGTTTTTCAAATTGGTTGTTGTCCTTCTTTTGGTTTTGTGAGGAAGCAAAGCATATCTACCTATGTCTCCATCTTGGCTGGAAGTCCCAATTTGTACTTCTTAATCCCTTCACTTTTTTGCCCATCCTGCCAATCCCCTGCCTATCTGACAGCCATCAAAATGTTCTTTGTATCTATGATTCTGTTTCTGTTATGCTTATTTGCTTATTTTGTTTTTAAGATTCAGTCGTTGATAAATATGTATTTATTGCCATTTATCATTCATATTTTTTATCTTCTTCTTTTTAAAGAAGACCCTTTAACATTTTATATAATACTGGTTTGGTGATAATAAACTCCTTTAGCTTTTTCTTGTCTGTGAGGCTCTTTATCTGTCCTTCAATTATAAATGATAGCTTTGCTCAGTAGAGTAAGCTTTGTTGTAGGTCTTTGCTTTTCATCACTATAAGTATTTCTTGCCAATCCCTTCTAGCCCACCAAGTTTCTTTTGAGAAATCAGCTGATACTCTTATGGAGGCTCCCTTGTAGATAACTGTTTTTTTTTTTTCTTGCTGCTTTTAAGAATTCTCTCTTTGGATTTAACCTTTGGCATTTTCATTATGATATGTCTTGGAGTGGGCCTTTTTGCATCCATCTTGTTTGGGAATCTCTGTGCTTCCTGGACTTGTATGTCTATTTCCTTCACCAAATTAGGAAAGTTTTCTTTCATTATTTTTTCAAATAGGTTTCCAATTTCTTGTTCTTTCTCTTTTCCTTTCAGCATCCCTATGATGTGAATGTTGGCACACTTGAAGTTGTTCCAGAGGCTCTCTGCACTATCCTCATTGTTTTTAATTGTTTATTCATTTTTGCATTTCTGATTGGTTGTTTTTCACTCTCTCATATTCCAAATTGCTGATTTGATTCTCAGCTTCATCCTCCCTACTGTTGATTCCTGGTAAATTGTTCTTTTTTTTCAATTAGTGTGCTCTTCATTTCTGACTGGATCTTTTTAATGCTTTTCAGGTGCTCACTAAGTTCCTTGAGCATCCTTATAACCAGTGTTTTGAACTCTGCATGTGATATATTGCTCGTCTCTATTTAGTTTAGTTTTTTTTTCTTCTGGATTTATGATCTGCTCTTTCATTTGGTCCATGTTTCTTTGTCTCCTTATTTTGGCAGCCTCCCTGTGTGTGTTCCTATGTACTGGGTGGAGCTGCTATGACTCCCTGTCTTGATAGAGTGGTCTAATGCAGTAGGTGTCCTGTAGGGCCTAGTGGCATAGCCTCTTCTGTCATACAACTAGGTATTCAAAGTGTACCCACTGTGTGGGATGTGTACATTTTTCTCTTGTAGTTGAGCTTTGGTTGTTGTTGACAGGTAACTTGGAGGGATTTTCCCAGGCTGATCTGCTGCAAGGACTAGCAGTGACCATTGACCACCAACCTCCTACAACCATGAAGGATCAGCTGTAAGGGACTCACTCTACAGAGTAGGGCTTTGGTGCCTGCTAGTCTGCCTTTTTATTGTGTCACTTGTGGAGGTGATTGGCTGGTGGCACTTTGATATAGTCTATAGCTGTCCACTGCATTTGCCATCTCTGGGGCTTCCTGGGAGGTGCAGGCTAAAGTAAACTGCCACCTGCCTTCTGTCTGGGGCTACCTGGCATAAGCTACAAAGCAATCAGTATACAGCTGCTACTTGTGCTGGACTTGGAAGTGACCAAGAGGAGCCAAGCTGTGAACCAAGGTCAGCTGCTACTAGTACTGCATCTGGGGCCACTTAGCAAGGCCACTTGCTGAGGCCCAGTGCTCCTTGTTGAGAGAATTTAAGAAAAGCTGAAGCATTAGTCAAGATGAGCCATTTGTATGAAAAAGCCCCTGAAAAGAGCTTGAGTGGGTCTGAAAGTTGAGTGGGGTGGAACCAGGATAGGGCAAAAGGTGTGAGCCTGGTGGATGAAGTCTCAGATATGGCATCCACCTGCCAGCTTAGTCAACATTTCTGTATGGGAGAAAGTTGCACTCCACTGCTCATTCTGATGCCACATACTTCATTCAGCTCCTCCCCGTTTGCCTTTGGTACCTTTTGAGCTGCTGCTCTGGAGCTGGAGCTCAGAGAGAGTGAGTCTGAACAAATCTGTTCATGGGCCCTTTAAGAGGAACTTCCAGGGAGTCTAATCTTCCACAGCTGCAATCCCCACTTGTTTTTACAGCAGATATTGTGGTGACCTATTTTCCTGGCACTAGAACCCTGGGCTGGGGGGCCTGGTTCGGGGCTGGGATCCCTTGCTAATGAAATGTTCATCCC